AGTTAAGTATGTAGGTATATAGTGCCGTAAACGTGATACGCGACTCGAGAGAGTGCCCGGGATGAGGCTACACGTGCAGGATGTCGTCGTCGTGCAAAGTTTGCGCGATGCACGGATGGTGTTTCAACGCACACGCGTACAATATAATATACCTGCATGAACAAACAAAAAAACAATGTGTATATATGTATAATACGCGTGTATCTGCAGTGTAACACCCGGCGACCGGCGACTCGGGTGAACCGGTAATCGGCTATAGTACAGAGATCGAAAGTTGAGGCCTTTCCCACAGAAAGAACGAGCGAGCAAGCACCCAGCTACCTTAAACGCTTTACATTTGTATAGAAATGCACCAGAACTCGTGTATATGTATGCATCGTCCCCCATATATATATATATGAGAACACTCGATGGGATTTTCTCGACCTGTAACGATTCTTTCATTTAACTCTGCGCAACAACAACTATACATGCACCTACATTATACACGCACATCATATAAACACCTACACTATTTAACAAAATGATAGTAGTAGTATGGATGTACCGAATGGCCTTCGTTTAAGCTATACCGACCATGTATACGAGGTTTAAACGGTAGGTATTATGTGTACAACTTGTCGCCATCCAATTAAACCATACATCGATATTATACGTGTACACCATACACAGGTGTAGGTATATTACCAGAGATTTGGTGTGTGGGCGTACGAAAGGCATCATCAGGATAACGGTGCCTTTGTGCCCTATGTATATATTTATATACCTACCCTCTGGTATACCGTGCTTGGTTGTATATACGCATATATTTGTATCGAGTGCGAGCTGAAATCCGAAATAAAAGAATTGAGTTTGGGGGGTGGAGGCCATTCTGTAAATCCACCAAACAATCGTTTGGAGAAGCATTTTTTTGTTGTATAATATATACCTATTACATGAAGCATCATACGATATGCACACGTAATGAGATTGCGCTGCGTTTACCTACGTATTATTTAATGTATACACTATGTTGTAATAAACAAATGCTAAATTCACTCAAAAAACTTTACACCTACTGGCTTCGAATGGAGTCAGGGTGTCCCAGGTGCTGATCATGATGGCTTCAATTTTATCTGGGCTCCTGTGGGAAATGTTGAGAAACGACTTACGTGTACATTATTGTCGAAAAATGAGAAATATTTGTTCAATAATTTTTTTTTTTTGCGGGTTCTTGGGGGCATAACCCCCCCGTTTTTCTCGTCAAATTTTCTCGTGCAGGACTGACCGATACCTAATTATAATATATACACACACACATTATGGAACGACAGCTTTCGTTACATCAGAGAGCTACTTCGGATCCAAAACCCATGTTATAATACATACCACTCAATGTCTTTGTTCACTGATATATTGTCAAGATGACAATTTTCCTCCCCGTCGCACAACACGAGTCCCATTATTTTACATCGTCGCAATTATTATCCTGCTGGTATAACAAACAGCGTGGACCCTCTCGAGTTCGCTTAATTCCAACACGATTATGTGTAACATGACAATGCATAGGTATACGTTGTACATCTGGAAGAAAGGAGGGGGTACACGCACTCTTGTTCATGTGTATATATATACTGCATGTAAGTATAAAGTCTCTTTAAATTTTAAGTGTATATACATGTATACTCTGGTTGGTGGGCATCGGTTGACCGGTGCAACGACCAATTTAACCCATTACATTTCGCGCTCTTTTTGATATTATTACCCTCCGGTATATATACGGCGCGTGTATGTGTACCCCTGTAATACATTTATTTAACTTGTCAAAATGTTCAAGCTCGTGCATTGGTTCTAAACGTACGTGTACACTGCAACGTAAAAGCTAATTTACGTCGGGTATGCTTGAAAAGTGCATTGAATATCCCTTGTAAGTAATTGCAGCCCCGACAAGCCATATACACTTTGTATGAACTTATACCCTCCTTGACAAGAGTGTATTGCTTATTACACGTGTAAGGTACATGACTTTGGGCAAAGAGATATTTAACCAAAAGCAAAAACCAAAAGCTTTCGGGTAAATTATTAGTCGGGGTAACACCACCAGAGCTTGGATGTTCTATTTCACTGGCCGCACACGTGTTACCGCTACTACTGGGGTATAATATTTAATGTTAAATGTGCAAAATTTGTTTTTTTTTTCTTCTCTTTCTTGATAAATCAAAAGAAAAAAAAAGTTGCGTTCCAACACTGTGTGTACACAGGCTTGTGGCTTCTTCTCCTTTTTTTTTATTTTTATCTCTTTTTCTGACGTGTCTGTATTGCATTAATAAGAGAGTGGCAAAGCTGGAGAAGGGTTCATGTTATTATAATAATAAATCGGTGCAAGAAATTGCGCTATACCGTAGCGTATGTATACATACGACCAAGAACGTCAGGCTTTGAAAATTTATACATTTATGTGTGTGTGCAGTGCAAGTATACGTGCAACTTGGCGATCGTTTTCACGTTTGCTTAAGGGGCATATTCTTACGCATTTATGAGAGTGTACAGAGTTTGCAGAGCGCGCATGATTTTTTTTTTTTTTTTTCTGATCCAACAATATCTTACGACTAGGGTTGTAAATCAAGATGCACGAACGTCACACTAGAGCTTAATTATAAAATGTTAGGGATTTGAGATCTCGTGAGTTTAAAATAGCTTATGGGTCTTACGTGCGCTCAGTTGATTTGAGTACATTGTAATATATCCAAAACTTTATAATTCAACACGAAAATTTTAAATCTTGATTTCACCTCGAATATCACTGAGAGAAATTCCAGCAAAAATTACCTTTCCGCACAGTAAATATCAGATGATGCAAAGTGGCAAAAAAGGAAAAAATTATTATTTTTAATAGTTAAGGCTATTGTGTAACAGTTAAAATTATGGTTCGAAAAGTAAAAAATTACTATGCTGGAACAGTAAACCTTTAAAGGATCGGTTAATAAATTTTACTTTCCCGCATAAAAGTTTTTACTATTCTAACCATAATTTTAACTATTTAAACTATACTTTCAACTGTTAAAACAATAATCTTTAGTGTTAATAATAATAATTTTTTTTTTCCTTTTTTGCCACCTTGCTTTCGATTATAATAATTTTTACGAGAATTCCTCTGTGATTTTTATTATCTTATTCTCTCAGTATGGAAAAAATAAAAACAAATAAAAACACTCAAAACATTTTTCTTCGACAATACATATGTATATAAGTAAACGGAGCAACAACGCCAGAACGCGCGGCGTCCGTCCATCCGTTTGTTTCCCGTGCGGGCGCGGGAAGGTCGCCGCCGCGGTACATGGTAACTACACATATGTATATATATACACGCATAGAGGTATAGTACTCAGCAGTAGTGGCGGGATGTCGGGGCCGGAAGTGGATCGGCCTTGTATAGTTGTATGTTACATATATATATACCCACGCTACACGCAGGGCGATCGACGTGGACGCGACCGTTATACATCACGTATATATTATCTCGAGGAAAAAGAGTTATACATCGGCTCCGGGCTGTCTCCCACCAAATACTCCTTACTTCTTTGTTTCCCTCTCGTTACCTGTTTTCCCATCCTCGTACGCTTGTTGTTCGTTTTTGTTTTTTCCTCGACTGCGTCTTTTCGTTCCCGGGTATCGTTATGCGTGACAGTGCATGTTGTATTCTGTATCAAGTGGATGATCGGTGATTCGCTTCGTTTGGTACTTTCGTAGGAAAAGATTTTTCGGAGCTTCCCCCGAGCGTTTTTCATTATATACTGTTCACAGTATACAAATAAAAATCGGTACAAATCGGTTGTCGATTCAAATTTCCCCATAGCGATTTATCGTGATACATCAGCATAATATGTATATAATGTATTGCAAGCTCATCAAGACGAACGAAAAAAGCACTTTAGATGAATCGTTTCCCAGATATGCTCAATTGAAAGTAACTGTAGCAGTTTTAGAAAATAAGTGAAAAAATCCTTGAAGCCTGTTTTTTTACTGTGAAATTCGTTGCTTTTCAATTGATAATATCTCGAAATCCATGATTCGGATCGATATTCGGTAACATGTTTTATCATCGTATATTATCTCCTCATAACGATCCAATGGTGTCTCGCACCTTTATACCTACCACGTAAAAGTATTTTCACACGGTCTATCTCATAAATTATGACCGCCAACAAAACGATTTAAGGGATATGGAAAGAAAAAATCGCCAGTCATCTGCGCATGTATATACACCTCGGAGGGAAAATTTCCTCGTCATAATACGTAGTACTTCGCGACCGCACGCACAAAGATGAGAAAAGGGCCCTTCAGCTCGACAGCATCCTCAAAAAAAAAAAAAAAAAAACCAACACCCTTCATCCCCAACAAAAAAAATAACAATAATAAGAAAGGATAATATACCTCCATCCAGTGATTACTCCCTTGTCAAACCAAACAAACAAAAAAAAACAAAAAAATATATGCTCGACCAAAGGACGCACATGTACGCACGCGACTGATATACGCCCGTCAAAAAGACAGAAAAACGTCCCCTTCCCCCGTACTCACACATGCAACATATTCTGCCGCCGAGCAAACCCATAACCGTGACCGTTTCTCTTTTGCATTGCAGATCGGCGCCCGGGGCCGGGGACCGACGATAATCGCCCTCTCTCTTCCCCGCACTTCCATACGCGTCTATCCTCGCAAAAGAGAGGAAGAGGAGGAGGCAAGACCATCGTCGCGCGGCCGTTTTTCCCGAGAGACGGCTCGGCAGCGATCGGCAACAGGTGCGTTGACACGCAAGATTGCCCGCATATACATACATATATATATAGAGAAAGGACAACGAGGGAGCAAAGGAGGAGGCCCACGACCTTTTTACGGAGCAAAACAGCCCGAGGTGCACCAGCGGTTGGGGTGAGCTCCGTGCCGCAAGCTCAGGATGCTCAAGCCTGGCACGCACCACGGCCGTAGGAGCTTCGTCCACCCCTACTGCGACGACGAGGGATCGCAGGTGCGTGCCTATATGAATATATACATACCTACGTGTATGTGATTTACTCGCATCGGGGCAGCCGTTTAAACTTACGCCTCGCGACGGGCGTTCCTTATTGCTTTACCTATGCCGATTTTCAACCGATGAAGCGTAAGATTCAAACTGTGCCTGGAAGTTCGTTCAAACGTCACGTGTACGCGCAAATCCTCGAGGGTGGAAAATTGTAGTAACGATTTGATGTGTGTATATATGTACAGGCATCCACGTCATCGTGTTCGGCAAAGTCGGTGAGCGGTACGGCACCGGTAGCCAGAAGAGCAAGGCTGAGCTGAGAATGTCGGATCAGAGCGGTTCCGGGGCCTCGGAGCCAGCGACGGGTCCTGCCTGGTGGCAGCCGTCCACCGGTCAATCCTGGAAATCGACGACGAGCGGTGCCAACAATCATCACAACCACCACCACCACCACCAAAACCATCATCACCACCACCATCATCAGCACAACAATCACCACAACAATCACAATCATCACACCTCGAGCGGTGGCAATAGTGGCGGCGGTGTCGTGCGCCCGCCCGAGCACGGGAAAAATGTATCCGTCACGACGATCAACGTCCCACCACCGTCGATTCACGAGATGCACGACGGTAAGTGCCATTAGACAGGACGTTCTTTCTTTCTTTCTTTCTTTCTTTTTTTCAATCAGAACAAGTACATGCTATTATAGTTGATAAAGTTTGTGAGAGCGTCTGTGTGTCTACTCGCTGTACAGCTTAATGATGTAATATAACACGGCTGTTTACAAATAAGTATATTGATTGGTGGCATAGCTGGGATGTATGTGTTTTATGGAAACACGTCTGGTTGTTATACGTTACGGATGAACGGTTGTAGTTTGAATTGCACGCGATCTTTATTCTGATTGAGCTGGTCATTTTTTGATCATTCGAGGGTGAAGGTTTAAGTGCAGCAATGAGATTTGTATCAGCTGTGATGTGAAGGGGGGAGGGAAGAGAAACGAGGGTTGAGGAATGAGGAAGCGAAAAAGCGAGTGTAGATACGAGCAAACGAGAGATGCATGGAAATGAAGGACGAGTGTGAAATATGGGCAGAGAGCGTGTACATGTATATAATATATTTATGAGAAGATTGTGAACCAAGAATTGTCGCGCTGCCTCCGGCGATTCCTATGAAACGACGACAAACTTGCCGGATGAATGTGCCTTACCTTTTTTACCTATATTTTCAGCTATTGGCCTGTTCATCTCTCTTTCTCATCTCAAGTCAAGATTGATGGGGTAGTAGTTTGTAGATTGGCACCTATCGTGATTGGATGAATTTTTACAAGACCTACGCGAATGTATACAAGTCTCACTACACAATTGTCTGCGTGTGTGTGGTTTTTTTTTTTTTTTTCATTTTTTTTTTTTACTTTTGTACATTGAATATATGCATATTAATTTCATCGTTTTTCGAAGTATGAAAATAAAAAGGAATAAAAAAAATTAGTTTCAACAAAGCCATAAAGATTTTTTTGGCATATCGTAAACATTCGACGCAAAAGGTAAATATCCGGCCGTGCGTTTGGCCGTGTGAGCGTATTTTTCATTTGTCTCGCTTAGGCGTATAAACACAAAGTCTCCCTCTCTTTTCCACGCCTCATTTGCGCCTCCATATAAGTACACAAAGAACCAAAGTTAATCGCATGTACACGCACACGGGACTATTTTATTACTCGCGCGTGCTTTTCTATTTCGTCGTTAAATTTATTCAAGCTCGTTTGTCGTTCCCAGCAGGTGTCTCCGAACGATTTTTCAACTCGATCGTACCGATTTGTCCATTTTTCCCAGCGAATAATCACTCAATCGCAAAATAACTGGTTATTCGCGAGACAAATCGTACACAAAATTCATGAATGAAACAACATAGCTTCCATTGATCCCCAGGTAAAAGTGTCTGCAAGTATCTGGGCGGCCAGAACGGCGTAACAGTCTCCGTCGTTTCGAGCTGTGGCCCGAGCACCAGCTCCAACGCCATCGCCAACAACAACAACAACAACAACATCATTACCAGCAACAACTCTTCCGCCACGATCACCACCACCACCACCACCACCAGCAACAACAACAACAACAGTGGCAACAGCATCAGCAACAACAACAACAACAGTAGTGGCACAAGCAACGGTTCCGCGTCAGTGGCCTTGTCGTCGAGCAGCTCGAGCAGCAACAACCACCCAACGACCACTTGCACCTTGACACCAGCAGTGTCCTCGGCCCTTGCGGACGAGTCTTGCTCGCCGAACAACAACGACGACGACGATGACGACGGGGACGGGGACAGCGACGGTGAGGTCAGTCGAATCGACTTCCGGGGCGTAAACTTGCGCACGAAGAAGAAGCGCGACGCCCCCGGCGGTGGCCAGGATGTGATCGAGCACGAGCAACCCGAGCGCCCGATGTCCTGGGAGGGCGAGCTCTCCGATCAGGAGATGTCCTCAAACACGATCACCAACGACCACGAGGAGACCTCGATGGAGGGCGTCCAGGTTTGCAGCGGCAGTAGTCCGTTGCACGAGCAAAAGTTCCCCATCAAGCCGGAGCCGGATTTCCGATCGAGTCCTGGCCTCCAGAGCTTGGCCGGCCAACCTGGCAGCCTTAACGAAACGATCGTCGCCGTGCCCCACGTCCAACAACAGATTCACCAACAGCAGCAGCAACAACAGCAGGTTCAACACGAGCAGACGGCACAGCAGAGTGATTTACCGTTGCTGGTTGACAAGCTGCTCGGCGGGTGCAACAGTTCAACCCCGAGTCACAGTCCTGTTCTCATTCCCCGGCATCATCTCACCAAGCACAGCCACACCAGATCTCAGGTTAGTCCATGCGTGCGTACGGTGATTTACGTTGTTTCATTGGGTTTTTGCCAGTAATAATAAGAAAATGCGTTGATGATTCGAAACAGGTGCCGTCGCCAGATTCAGCGATCCACTCGGCTTACAGCGTGTTCAGCTCGCCAACCCAGTCGCCGCACGCCGGCCGGCACTCGGCTCTGGGTCCCGGCTCACCAGTGCCCTCGTCTTCGCTCTCGCTTTCCCGGCACAGCTTCAACAACTCCAGCTCGTCCCTCTCGCTCTCCCTGTCGCACTCGCTCTCGCGCAACAATTCGGACGCCTCGAGTAGCTGCTACAGCTACGGCAGCCTCAGTCCGCCCACTCACTCGCCGGTCCAGCAGCGCCACGCGCATCATTTACAGCAACAGGCGGCAGCTGGTGCGGCGGCCTTGCATCTGCAGTCAAGTGCGGTGCATCACTACGGAGCCGCCGCCGCAGCTGGTTTGTCGGCCGATGCCGGGGACGCCCACCTGGATGACCAGGACGACTGTAGGATACCCTCGGCCCCATCGGGAATCTCCACGAGGCAGCAGCTGATCAACAGCCCGTGCCCAATTTGCGGGGACAAGATCAGTGGTTTTCATTACGGCATTTTTTCATGCGAGTCGTGCAAGGTGAGTTTCGATTGGCCGTGTATGTAATTGCCATTATTGTAATCGATTGAAAAATTTATGCGTTTTATCAGGGTTTCTTCAAGCGTACGGTGCAAAATCGCAAGAATTACGTGTGCCTTAGAGGCGCTGGTTGCCCGGTGACGGTGGCCACGCGCAAAAAATGTCCGGCCTGCCGCTTCGACAAGTGCCTCAACATGGGCATGAAACTCGAGGCGATACGCGAAGATCGGACCCGCGGCGGTCGCAGCACTTACCAGTGCACCTACACGCTGCCGGCGAATCTCATGGGTTCCGGCTCGATGGCCGCGGGTGGCTTTGGCCAAGACAGACTGGCCCAAACTGGGCCCTGCAGTCCGGCAGCCGGTGGTGCCGAGCATCACCATTCCATGAAGCATCATTCAAACCACTCGCACAAAGTGCAACTGGTGCCCCAGCTGCTGCAGGACATTATGGATGTCGAGCATTTGTGGCATTACAACGATAACGACAGACTCGGCGCTAGTCAGGCTATGGGATCGCTCAATCTCGCTCAGGTATACATTGCAGCTTAAAACTGAAAGTAACTCTAATTCCTTCTAATCGATAATCTTTTGTTATTGACTGTTGTTTGTAGTCCCTACCGAACATGGCCACCGCAGACTCGTTGAGTTCATCTAACGGTCTCAATGGCAACAGCAGTAGCAGTGGCACGAGCGGAGTTGGGGGTAGTGGTGGCGGCAGTAGCAGCAACAGCAGCTGTCAAAGCGAACTTGCGCGACCGTCGCCTTCCAACTCGTCAACGCCTACGCCGAGCCACGAACAGCAGCAACAACAGCCTTCCGCCAATCAGCAATCGAGTTCGATAGATAGCAGCAATCCGACTCAGCATCCGGATTTTCTCTCAAATTTGTGTAACATAGCCGATCACCGGCTCTACAAGATCGTCAAGTGGTGCAAGAGCCTGCCATTGTTTAAAAATATCTCGATAGACGACCAGATTTGTCTGCTCATCAATTCCTGGTGCGAGTTGCTACTGTTCTCCTGCTGTTTCCGCAGTATGAGTACACCAGGCGAGATTCGAGTCTCGCTGGGGAAATCTATAACGCTCGAACAGGCCAGAGAACTCGGGTTGGCCACGTGCATCGAGAGAATGCTTGCGTTTACGAACAATCTCAGGCGGCTCAGGGTAGACCAGTACGAATTTGTAGCCATGAAGGTTTGTTTTGCACGTTTATTTTTTGGCATTTTTGTTGTTCAATTAGTTAACGAATTATAATTAAAACCTGTTTCAGGTGATCGTATTGCTAACATCGGATACGAGCGAGTTGAAAGAGCCGGAGAAGGTGCGCTCTTCACAGGAAAAGGCGCTGCAAGCACTGCAGCAGTACACCATAGCGAGGTACCCGGAGATGCCGGCCAAGTTCGGTGAGCTGTTGCTTCGAATACCAGATCTCCAGCGTACCTGCCAAGCAGGCAAGGAACTGCTCAGTGCAAAACGCGCCGAAGGCGAGGGCTGCTCCTTTAACTTGCTTATGGAACTGCTTCGAGGGGACCACTGATTTGTCACAAACGCTCATGTGATCGTGATTCGAATCCTTTTTTTTTTGTTTCTTTACATTAGCAAAAAAACGTTGCTACGACTGAGTAGAGTTTTTTTGCGATTTAGAAAAGTGAATGATCTTTGGATGACATTGAAGAGAAAAAACATTAGGTGCTCGTGAGAGTTCGACACGAACTCTTTCATGCAGCAATCTTTGTTTTTGAATGGAAACTTCATGACGTAGCATAATTTGGTTTTTAAAAGTAATTACGTGCCTACAGTGGAGCTTGTATATAATTCTAACCATTTGGTTTTCTTGTTGTGTCAGTTTTACTTTCCGAGAATCTGAGGCAACCTAGTTGCCAAACTTTTTTCTCCAAACTTAAAACTTATTAGATATTTAAATGAAAATCAAAAACATAGTTAAATTTATTAAAAATATTTTGACTAAGCAATTTAAAAGTACCCTGCATTTAATTCTCTAAATATAATTTTTTTAATAAGAAAATATTTACATGTTTATTTTGCAAAAATAAACGTACAAGCCATTGAATTTCTTGAGAAAATAAGAAAAAAAATTTTTAAAAAACAGTAATTAACTCTGAAAAATGTTTTAACTATGTTAAGACTTGAGCATCAAAGTCACACTATTATTTATAAAGCTGTAAGAAAATTTTAAACTCGGTGATTAAGCTATTAAATAAAATTTAAATTATTACAAATATTTATTTTATACAGTTGAATTTGATGTTTTTATAAAATTGTATGATAATTTTGAGTAAAAATTTCATCTAATTTTTTTATACTGGTTTTAATTTAGGTTCATTAATCTATACATGTACTCAAAACAATGTCATAAACTATATGCACGCCTCTTCGAGGAATCTTATTTTTCTTTGATTTCAACAGAGAAAAAGACTGATTTTTCAGAAAGAAGAAATCTCTTTCGCAAGTAATATTATGAAATTGATGAACTTTTTAAAGCTTCCAAGATATTGAAATGTTGTCAGTTTTATATCGACTTTAGATTCTTCAATCGTGTTAAGTCCACGTAAAAAGATCGTTTAACAATCAAGTTTTATTAACGAATAAGTAATTGCATAATTGTATAGAACACAAAAATAAACTATAAGAATACAGACGACTGTTAAAATAGAATATACTTAGTCCGTATTAGTGTTAGCTCGTGGTGAGGGGACAATTTTTTTTAATATAAATAATTATGATATATAAGTAATTAAGCTCTCAATGAACTTAAATGAAGAAAAAAACATATATATATATATACATATAAATATATACTATACATACAATTTATAAATATGCATTTATAAATAGATAGAGCTCTATAAATATTATAAACATCTTATAAATATATATTTTTTACTGAAAGAAACAAAATGCTTCCACACAATGAGGCCTGCGTGAATAATTTTTCTGTAGCATTCCTGCCTTAAGTGAAATACAGGAGTTTCGTAGCGGCCTACTGTATATCCGTTAAAACGTCCAGTGTGTGCATTGAGTGAATTGACGAGACTGAACAATAAATTAAAATAGAAAAAAAAAATATGTACAACAAACATTGGGTGGATAACAAGCGAATGCACGTTTTTGTGCCAGTGCCGAATATTTTATTTATATTTTTTGAACAGCTCAAAATTCTTTGTCATAATATATAATCAACTTCCAATTGTATTGGACTTGAGAATTTAGAGCATATTTGTGCATTATTTATAAAAATAATACAACCCCACTGGAAGGATCCGTTAGAATCTCATGAATTATACGTGCCTTCTTACACCATTCTAAAAGTTCTTTCCAATGGGGAGTAAATTAGCGTATGCGTGCATTCGCGTGTGTCAAGATCCATCTTGTGATTACTATTTTTCGTATGCTTGTAAATTTAAAATATTATAAGCGTGGATCGCAGTGTGGCGTTTAATATTTGTTTGCGGCAAAGACTGCGATTGCCAAGGCCACAAAACATTTTTTAATATGGTAAAACCAGTATTTTTCTCTTATAATATATTATCTGCGATGTTTTACTTAAGTTTTAATCAATAATTTTTTTTTACGTTTCCGTAATCCCGGTTTTGCAAACAAAATGTACTTAAAAAAAAGAGAAAGAGCAAGAAAGAAAGTTGATAACAATGTGCTTTGTAGAGGCGCGGTTTATTTTTGTTTTTTTTTTCCCATCACCTTTTTTCGTGAAAAAAAGGTACATCTCATTATGTCTTTCCTTCATATTATAACCATTTTTTTTTTTTTTTATTGTTTGTACTTCACAAAATTCGTTGAGCATAACTGTTATGTTGCAATGAGTGTTAGCAATTTGTACAGATAGACTGATCAACTTTATCTTGTTTTTTTATTTTTGTTAGTTGGAAATTTGTGTCATGTTAAATAATATATCATAAAATCAAAAAACAAAACAGAACACATTAATAATACATACTTGAAAGTAATTTTCAAAATTACTTGAATCAGGTTACACTGTATTTTATTTTTCAAGGTTTGTTATTACCTTGAAACATAAATGATGACTGGTCTAAAACTTTCATTTTTCGTTATTTTGATATTAATAATCGTAAATACATGGCTGATTTCAATAACTGTAATAAACTTTTGCATATATAATTTTTTATTCAAAATTTCAAAAGTAATAAATTTAGAAACTATTTTGTAATAAAAATCCTCTATAATTTCAACAATCAGCAATGGACAAAAGTTTCCAGTATTTCATGTATAAATCGGTATTACAAAGAAAAATAAAAATACGAAAAACAATATTTAAATCACTTACAGTGTAAATAATCAATGCAAAGAAAATTCCTGTTGCTTTGAGTGCCTGAATAAAAGTTGATCTAATGACATACATAAAAATTTGTTTGTAAGCAAAAACAAGTGCGAAAAAAGAGATATTTAATTGTTAATAAAAAATGAGCGTGACTATTCTATGTTTATATTTTTTATAGTAGTTATATTTACAACCACTTACTTGCTTACTTAATAGTAAAATTTACATTGTATGTACTTGTTTCAACTGCATATGATTCCGAGAACAATAGGCGGAGCAACGAGTTTTAATAAATAAATAAATTAGATAGAGTATGAAGTAGTTGTATTATGACAATCAAATTTATTATTATTAATTTGAAAGAATGAATGAAAATTATTTAATAGCTAAGACAAACAATACTTCTTATTCACATATGTATAGCTGTAACTTTTTTTGTTAATAAAAGTTTGATCGAGAGCATCGATTTAACAACGATGACAATATATTGTAAACTGACTATTAAGAGATTATTTATACGAGATTTATTCGTATGAATAATATCAAAGAGCTTAAATGTGACAGACTGTATCGAAACACCTCTTTACACATATCCCAATACGCACATTTTCTCTTCTACGAAAAAAATTTTTCTACGCCTGATAAAGTTTCTTTTCATTAAACAAAAAGAATTCGTTAAGAATTTTAATACAGTGGACATTCGCGATTACTTAAAGAAGTTAATAAGTATTCTTCTTGATTAATTTTGGGAAAAAGAATTCTTTTTGAATTCTTACAGAATTATTGAAGTAATCTTTCTGCGTATTTACATGAAAATATCCACGAGCAATCAATTTTAAAGTAAAATTGTAACTACGGTGTAAAAAATATTAAATTGCAATCAAAACAAGAAAGACAAGCATCTCAGACTCAGCGCATCAAAGATGTACTCAATCTCTTGAATATTGATATGAGCTAAAAAGCGCATAATAAAACGACTGACACTGGTAAAATTATTATTTTTGTACCTATAATAAATACCGGCTCGTAAGCTAGTAGCTGTCAGGCAAACAATTGAGCGCTACTGCAACGACTACACCTACATATTACTTATTACACGTTTGCTCTGTTAAATATATTTATTATAAAGGCGCATTTTTTTATGAAAAACGCCAGAAAACAGTGCGATGAAGTTAATATAAGAGCAAGATAAAAATAAATTTCTATACATGTATTTTCAAGTTAAGTGATATACTTGTAACAGATTACACACTACTTATACTCAAACGATTGCAGTTTTACTTTTATACATACTCCTTTACAAATTGTCAATGGAGAATAAAATAATATGTACAAAATACTTGAAAATTGTCCTTTTTTTCTTACCCTTCTTTTCTTGTAGTTTTTAAATGCACTAATAAAAAAAATTCTCCGAAAGAAACCTTCATTAACCAACAAAAATTGAGTTAAAAAGGATTACCTTGGATAATACTTGAGTACTGGTAGGTACATGATAATTATAATTCTGAGATTCATCACATCAGTTCTTCATCCTCAATTGCTCAGTATAGAGAACATCTGAGGCATGACCGGCGGAACCGCGAGAGACACTGATTAGATTATACATTTTTTTTTTACATTAACTTTAAATTGCATAGCCATTATATAAATACAAAATAGAACTTTTTTTTGTCGAGTTACTGGAAAAGAATCTCTTAGGATGTTCCCTGATTCAAAATACCAAGAGTGAACCTATTACTGATTATTTTTTCAAATATTTTTAGGATTGTAAGAGACCATGGCAACAGGCCTGGCTTTATTATTTAGTTTAGGAATGGAAGAGATTAGATAATTATGCAAATAATCGTGGAATAACTATGTTCTGATTGTATAAATCATTGAAAATGTCCAAGAGTTCTATTCGTGTTTGTATGGCTTGAGGAGCTAGTAGACGATACTGTCATACTTAACGTTGGGGCAAATTAGGAACATTAAAAGCTTAGGAACACTTTTAGAAAATGATATAATTAAGTAATTCGAATCCGAAGATTTCTTGATTTCGAAGTAATCACTACTAAGTAGTGCCATATGGTCGATTTTATTAAACTAAGTAAGTATCTATACTTTTGGAGGTCAATTTTCGGGTAAAAGATAATTTGTAAACTTGCCTCAAATAGAACAAACAATTTCAACTTTTTATCTTCTATCTGAAAAATTAATTGCGGCTGGTTTATAATTAATTAAATGGCTCTACTGTAAGTTATAGTAAGAGTTATTTGGATCAGCGCCATCTAGCGTTTTAGATTTTTGAACTAAAAAGTGGCCCTAAACTTTTCAGCCAGAGCTTTAGCGCTTAAAGCTATTTAGTCACTTATAAACCAGCCGCAAAAAATTTCAGTTGTATAAAATGTAAAAATAACGATACATGTGTTTTTGGCGGCAAGTTAACAATCTATTTTCTACCCAAAAATAGACCTCATATGCATTTATACTTTTAAAGATGAATTTTTGAGTAAAAGATAGATTGTTTACTTGCCGCCAAAAACACATATATAGTTATTTTTACATTTTATATATCAGAAATTTGTTGCGGCTGGTTTATAAATGACTAAATAGCTCTAAGCGCTAAAGCTCTGGCTGAAAAGTTTAGGGCCACTTTTTGGTTCAAAAATCCAAAACGCTAGATGGCGCTGATCCAAATAACTATTACTATAACTTGCAGTAGAGCCACTTTATTAACTATAAACCAGCCGCAACTGATTATATAGATAGATAATAAAAAGTTAACTTATTTTGTGCTATTTGCGGCAAGTTTACAATTTATCTTTGATCCAAAATCGACCTGTGAAAGAAAAAATATTCTACTTATCTTATACGGCTTATAAAATCAACCATATTCACAAACTTACAATACCTTAGACCTTTTCCCATTAATTTATGAAGCACGGCCCTTTAATGTTATAGTTTAAAAAAACAGTTAACTTGTATGATATGTATTGTGTTACAGAAATCTCGAATAACGATAAACACATACGTGAATTAATCAGACTCAAGAAAAAAGGCTTAAAAAAGAGTTTCAGTCACACGAAGAGTCTCCTAAGAATGGAGCATTGGATCTCACTTAATCAGAGAATGTTGGGTTCTTTGTTTATTTATAAGACTTAAAATTTACTTATCTGTAAAAAGTGTATTTTTTATTTGGTAAGATTCAATGCTCCATTCTTAAGAGACTCTTCGTGTGACTGAACTTCTCTTTTAGGCCTTTTTTCTTCAGTTGTCTCTTTTCAACTGATTAATTTACGTATATATTTGATCGTAATTCAAGATTTCTGTAACACAATACGTATCATGCAAGTTAACTGTTTATTTAAACTATGACATTAAAGGGCCGTGCTTCCATAAGTTAATGCTTAAAGGTCTAAAGTATTGTAATTTTGTAAATGTAGTCGATTTTATAAGCCACATATAAGATAAGTAGAATATTTATACTTTGGAGGTCAAATTTTGGGTAAAAAATAGATTTAAAACTTGCCGCAAACAGCACAAAAATTTTAACTTTTTATTTTCTATCTACGAAATTAGTTGCAGCTGGTTTATAGTTAATAAAGTGGCTTTACTGTAAGTATAGTAATAGTTATTTGGATCAGCGCCATCTAGCGTTTTGGATTTTTGAACTAAAAAGTGACCCTAAACTTTTCAGCCAGAGCTTTAGCGCATAGAGCTATTTCGTCAATTATAAACTAGCCGCAACTCATTAAGTAGCTATAAAACAAAAAAATAACGATACGTATGTTTTTGGCAGCAAGTTAACAATCTATTTTCTACCTAAAAATTGACCTCCTATGTTTTTATACTTTTAAAGATAAATTTTCGAGTAAAAACTAGATTGTTAACTTGCCGCCAAAAACACACGTATCGTTATTTTTTTATTTTAAAGCTACAAAATGAGTTGCGGTTAGTTTATAATTGACTAAATGGCTCTAGGCGCTAAAGCTGACGAATCGAATATCAAATCGCAGCAACCACAATTAGCGCCATCTCGCGTGGCTGATTGAAATCGAACACTGTGTATTTTGCTTTCTGCTACAAACGCTACCGGAGTTTGTTTACTATTTACCGGATTGTTGTGTGTACATTGTTTTGTAAAAGTGATTTTATTCAAATGTAATAAATAAAAATGGTATCGACCCGCGGGCCCAAGTTTAAATTTTCCGACGGGGAGAAGGTTTTGTGTTATGAGCCCGATCCAACCAAAGCCAAAGTACTTTACGACTCCAAGGTAACCTGGAAAGAATTACTTTTGATAGATTAACGATGTTATCTGTAATAAGTATATTTATTAATACTCATGATTTTTCCAATCAATTATCAGGACTAAGCTAATATTAATTAATTTGATGTAAAATATATAAAAGGTTAAAAGTGCTGTGTCTTTAGGTACTTGATGTTATTGTAAATAAAGATCAGCGAGGGAGAAAGGCAGTGGAGTATTTGATTCACTTCCAGGTAATCATCACTTTTATGATATTGGTTGGATTTTTTGTTGGTACTTTTTATATTGAAAGTTTTTGTTACTATAGGGATGGAACTCATCTTGGGACCGCTGTGTCACGGAAGAGTATGTTCTTAAAGACACAGAAGAAAATCGGCAATTACAAAGAGATCTCGCCCAGAAAGCACAATTACAATTGTATGAAAATTTGAATAGTCCTAAGTAGTGCTCTTGAACAAAAAAAAAAAAATTTATTTTTTCATTCTCAGAGGAGCATATTTGTACAGAAGAGAGCGAAAAAAAAGAAGTCACAAGTATTCTAGTTCCACAGAAGTAGGCACAGAAGCTAAGAGGAGAGCACAAAGCAGCGGCAGTAGGACAACTTCGGGAACTACTGGCTCTTCAGAAGACGGTAGCTCTGGACAACAAGAAGATTATGACACTGAAGTATGTTTCGAGTTTTTGTTGATTTATATACTTTTCAAGCTTTATATTCAACTTTAACCTAGGATATTGTATCTGAAGAAGAGATGGAAAGCAGCTCAAATTTCGATGAAACTTCTGCAGACGATAGCGGTGATGGTAGTCAGTCAGGAGCCAGTGTTAGACCTGGAGTAGATATTGAAATAGGGGCAACGTTAAAAAGACTTTTGGAACAAGATTTTAATCTAATAGTGAACAATAACAAGGTTCTGTATTTTCTTTTAGTATAAATTTTGTAAAACAAAAACGAAGTCTTTATAATCACACTTGCATTATACTCTTTAGCTACATGTTTTGCCAGCACAGCCAACAGTTGTAAATATTATAGAATCTTGGGTACAACATTATACAACAACTCAATTAACAAACATTCCTGATAAACCACAAAGAAATAAAGTACAAAACAATTTAGAAAAAACAATTAATGATATTAACATATGCAGAGAAACTGCTGATGGTCTACGAATATACTTTGATCATACGTTAGGTGATTTGCTTTTGTACAAACAAGAAAAAGAACAGTATTTGACGATGAAAGAAGTGGCTGCGTCATCAAACTCTGATGACTCTGTCGTAAAAGAGGAAGCTGTTGAGTGAGTAGTTTGATTTTTTTTTTTTTTTTTTGATCCAACAATATCTTACGACTAGGGTTGTAAATCAAGATGCACGAACGTCACACTAGAGCTTAATTATAAAATGTTAGGGATTTGAGATCTCGTGAGTTTAAAATAGCTTATGGGTCTTACGTGCGCTCNTTTTTTTTTTTTTTTTTTTTTTTTTTTTTTTTTTTATGTAGAATGAAAATTTGTTTACTGGTTCTTAGTAACACTATTTTCTAAAATGTCATGAATTTATTTGTTTTATTTTAGTCCTGAATTAGTGATAAAAGAAGAGGTCGAAGACCCAGAATTTGCTCATTTGCCACCATTTCGGGAACAAGAGCCTGATAAGACTGAATCTGAAAAAACGGCGGTGCCTACGGTCTCAAATACTCGACGAAAATTACGCTCGTGTCGGCTAAATTCAACCGAAGAGCCAAAAGCTCCGAGACCCGTTGAGGAAGTCAAACAGGAAACAGGCGGCAATTTATCAAGGTGAATTATTTGAAATTTAATCTTTATTGATTATTTCATTTGTAATTCAAATTATGTATGATCCAGTATGAACAGTTTGGCAAGTACGAGTTCAAGATGTTCTAGTCCACGAGGTGTAACTTTAAGGATGTCAATGCCCGTAATTAATTCGGCTCAAATCAATTCACTGTTGGAAGATTCCAAAAAGTGGCGGCTGATGCCAGAAAGGGAGTTAAAAGTGTCGTCGCCGAAACCGTCAATGGTGTATGGAGCTATCCACTTGGCTCGTTTATTTGGTAAGATATAACTCATTTTTTTTCCTATTTTCAAGACTCGTTATACAGTTATAATAATGCTCGTTAAAATCTTTCAGTCAAGTTGCCCGAATTGCTTCAAATGACAGACATTTCTGAAAAAAAGTTGAAAGTTTTGTTGAAGAATTTAGACATGTTTTTAAGGTAACTCGAAGAATTACGTTTCTATTAAATTACTTATAAGCCCTTTTATTATAATTCATATATAATACATTGTAAAAAGTTATTCAAATGTTAAAACATTAAAAACATTAAATTCATTTCAGTTATTTGGAAAATCATAGAGAATGGTTTGGAGAGCAATTTTACATGCAAAGAACGTGCCAATCAGATGACACAACAACACATCCATGATGGATTTTTAGTATTCAACTATTTTTATATGATTTATACTGTGTAATAAATATGTGAACAAAACATTAATTTTCATAAAATATATGTATATATACTTTTATTGTTGTTTCATTTATCGCACTTGTTGCATCCTATAAATAATTTTTTTTTATCATTCCTATGCTTAACTATTACTTTATAATGACAGCATCTGCGTAATCTATATGATGATATTAATTTCAGTTCACTAGATTTGATTAATGTTACGAAGATCTTAAAAATACTCTTGCAATTAATTACAAATAGTTTATTTACAAACAACAACGACAATAGTACGTTGTTTTTATAAAATTTTTACTCAAACCGGCACAGATCAATAAATCTTTTTTTTTTTTTTTTTTTTTTTTTTTTTTTTTTTTTTTTTTTT